GAAAGGCGAGGCTCACCGAACCATTTATCTCTCTGCCCTTCAACTAACCCTACATGTGTTTATCAGCCAGGTTGGCACACTAAACCCACACTATCTCAGTGTAGGAGGCCTAGTAGGGCTTGATCAAGGTCCATGTAACCGAGAGGAATTACTGAAACCCAAATGAAGGCTTAACATGATAGTGGGACAAGAGGAAAGTAAGAGGAAATAGAGGAAAAACTAGGAGGCAAAGGGCATTTATAGAGGTCTAAATACAGGCAATTACATATGTTAATATATTTATATATGATGATGGGTAAATAGATCTATGTGCATATATTTATAGGTTTAGTATTAAGGTAGCAAATGGATGTTGGGCCTCTACTCAAGGACTCTCTCATGTAAGAACACTTTGTTCTATTAAACTGGCATTCCATGATGCTCACCTTCCCAACATGATTGCTGAAGACAAAGGAAATGTGGTGAAGATAGCTGATGGTGCCTGGCAATGGGGTTTTTTAAAGGCTTGAAGGTGATGGTGCCCGGCATGTGGGGTTTTAAAGGCTTGAAGATAAACAAGCGGCCATCTAGCTGAGAAGCAACAAAGCCCACATAGACGAAGCACACCAGCCTATGTGATCATGAGGTACCCATAGGATCAGGTATCAGGCATCAAAGACCCAGAACAAAAAAACATATCATTGTGAATGAGGGGGAGTGCATAGTGGAGACCCAAAGCCCATGGGTAGGCAACTGGACATCCCCTTACGGGGAGGAGATGAGCCAGTCAGGGTGCGGTATGGCACCGCTGACACATATAACTTTCCTCTAGTTCTTTAATGCTTCCTGCCTCCCACTATCATGATCCCAATTCAACCTTACAAATCCAGCTAGACCAGAGGATATACACGGTACAGATCAGAGCTGGAAACACAGGGAATCCAGGACAGATAAACCCATCAGGACCAATAATGAGAGTGGAGATACTAGGTGGGTAAGGGGAAGGTGGGGGAGGAAGGGGGAACTGATCACAATGATCTACATATAACCCCTTCCCTGTGGGATGGGCAACAGAAAAGTGGGTGAA